CACACACACACACACACACACACACAGACACACACACACACACACAAATACTTGGACATCTCTTCCACATCCTCCAAAATATGCCCTTGCTCTTCCTGCATTAAAACTTTACATACTGTCTGTGTGACTTTGCTCTGCTGCTAATTGAATCGGCCTCTAACATATATTTGCCCCTCGGTGTGTGTAAATAACAAATGCAGCCTGTGCAGGCCGCTGCACTGTGGCATGTTTCCAACCGTTATGAATGAGCGCTTTCCAAAAATCGGATAGAAGGGGATAATGATCTCACCAGATTAGCAGCGTTAATGTGGGTGTAACACCTCACCCTAACCTTGTTGTGTTTTATTACACCACATACATGTGTGCGTCTGTGTCCTCAGCCAAGGGCATCCAGATTGTGTGACTGATAAGATTGTGGTGTGGATATACAGCCGGAGTGAATGTCCTTGTTATCCAGGGGAGGAATCTGTCCAGCTACACAGCAGGATTTCCTCCCATGGGGCCGTGGAGCAGAGAACACAACACAATATTCTTGTTCCAAATGTTCTCTCTTTTCTCACCACCCATCCCCCCAACACACACACACACCCCGGGGGTTGAACACGAATTGCTATATTGTACTGCTGCAGGGTCAAGTGTGTTGAGCCCTCGGTGCTGGATCAGATGCTTCCATCTCTAACACTCAGGGCTGTATATTCACCACTGATGCCATAACCACCTATTTATAGACCTACACTCATCTCCATCTACTTCCCTCTAAGCAAGTGATGACATGTGTGCATGTGTGGACTTATATCTTTGTGAGGACCATTTTAAACGTAGACCCTACAGAGTGAGGACATATTGACCGGGCCTCACTTTTTCAAGGCACTGTATGAGGGTTACGACTTGTTTTTAGGGTTAGGATTAAGTTTAGGTTAGGATTAGGCATTTAGTTTGGATGGTTCAGGTTAGAGTAAGGGGCTAGAGAAAGAATTATATCAACAAGTTTCCTCACTAAGATACAAATACAAACATGAGTGTGTGTGAGAGTGCATGTGAATTCTAGCAAACAACGCCCATGGATCAGATTGTAAAGTACAAGTTAAGTTTATAAAATATATTTTTTGAGTTAAAATTAGAGATTTAAAAACGTAAATATTGCAATTTTCTGTTTTAAATAAGACTGTAATAGAAATGTAATGCTTTACACATTCTCAGACAACACACACGCACACACAGAGCCCCCAGGAGCAAGCCCCACCGCACAAAAATCACAGTGTACCATTCAATCAGAGCCTTTTCCTCCCTCCTCTCCATGGTTCTCTTAAAGGTTTTAACCATGGCGAGAATGAAAAGTGCCAGCGTTAGAAACCTTGGCCCATTGAGGAGGTGACAGGGTCTGCCAGAATATGATCCTAATCCTGTTTCCAGCATTCTTTTAGCCCACTGGCATCGCCATTTCACTGCATATTCTCGGAGCTGTCAGGCCCAGGGAAATCCCTCTAATAGTGCATTGCCCAGATACACATCAAAGCCCTCCTGGAAACCACCAGCAGGAACTTAAGGCAGAGGGAAGCAAGTATAATCAGGCTCACAGCTGCACATGCACACGCAACAAAGCTGAAACTTGGCTGGACACCATCATTCACGCTGAAATTTAACTCGTACATTATGCTTGAAGATGTCCAAACTTCTCTAAAAAATTGGCATGGCAACAATCCGTGTTCTTTTCCCTGAGGCGTTTTAAACTGACTTTTATTTTTGATATGTTAACTACTTAACAGCGGAAGACAGAGAGATGAGATAGCTGCAAGAAAAACAAAGAGAGAGTGATATCAAGAGGCAAACAACAGGTGTCTAAACTGTATATCCTGGGCCACCCTCCTTTAGTTCCACTTCATCTTCTATTTTCTTCATGTCCTTTTTTTCTTTAACACTCTGACTGCCATCTCGCCCCTCCCCGGGTAATCTTCTTAGAGAGAAGAAAACCCCCATTCTCTGTCTTCTTAATCTGTCTGCAGCCTAAACCTACGGCTGCATTTCCAATATGGGCCCCACTAAACAGAACTGCAGTACTCTCAGCCAGTTCATGGAGTAGCATGTCTGCTGTACCAAGCTTTTTGGAAAAATTTAAAAGGGAAGACTTCAGTTACAAGGGGAAATGCTTCAAGCAATTTGTTTGTACAAAAGATTTAATCAAATATCAGACGAATCAAAAAGCTTCATTATATAAATACCAGTAGTGGAAGGTAACTAACTACATTTACTCAGGTAGATAAGCAAATGTTTTCTGATCCTTTGTGACTAAAATTGTTG